TATATATATATATATATATATATATATATATATATATATATATATATATATATATATATATATATATATATATATATATAGTATACATAGACGGAAGTTAAAAGCGTCCTGATGGAGCCACTATGCTACTCTGGAAGGATAGAAAGCAGATTGCCTGGGACTACACCTGTGCCGCCACATTGGCAGACACCTACTTGCCATACTCCGTAGCTGAAGGGGGGTGGAGCTGCCAGCCACAAGGAAACCCAGAAGATCCGCAAATATGACGACCTTCCCCCTTGCTATAACTTCATCCCAATAGGGTCGGAGACCCTTGAAGCATGGGGTATGTGTGCTCTAAAGTTCCTCAAAGAGCTGGGTGAAAAGCTTATCATAGAAATCAAGGACTACAGGGCGACCAGCTTTCTCTTTCAGAGTGTTGTGGTCCAGAGAGAAAATTTCCCCTCTGGATCGCAACACTGAGTCTCTGAAAGCGGAAGCTGGCCGCCCTGTGGTCCTTGGTTTCTATGATGAGTTTTTCACCCAGATCTTTCAGGAACTTGCCCCATGCTCCAAGGGTCTCAGACCCTATTGGAATGAAGTTATAGCAGGGGGAAAGGTCGTCATATTTGCGGATCTTCTGGGTCTCCCTGTGGCTGGCAGCTCCACCCCCTTCAGCTACGGAGTATGGCAAGTAGGTGTCTGCCAATGTATATATATATATATATATATATATATATATATATATATATATATATATATATATATATATATATATTATATATATATATATATATATATATATTATACCGTTTAAGCCAAATCGTCCAGTTTGGCTTACTTGTCAAAGATGTACTTCGCGAAATAAGCGGAATGAAAATTTGTTTTTGCATAAATCAGCGGAATTCGATCTGAACATTACGAAAAACAGTATGTAACTGATTTTAAGTAATAGTAAATGAATTTATGTTAACCTATGATATATATAGCAGATTTTAGCTAAAAAAATACGTTTGTTTTAGGGAGGTTACGTGAGGTATCTGTGCTAGTTATAGACCCAAAATAAAAGTCTTTATATCATTGTCAATCAAAAAAGATGATTTATCATTATGTAAGAAAATTTTTTGGACACACACACACACACACACACACACACACACACACACACACACACACACACACACACACACAAAGTCATGAAGATTGGGGAGGGGCAAAGAAGACCGCAGACAGAGTATAGGTTAGGTGGACAAAGACTACAGACCTCACTCAGGGAGAAAGATCATGGGGTGACCATAACACCGAGCACGTCACCGGAGGCACACATCAACTAAATGACCGCTGCAGCATACGGGCGCCTGGCAAACCTGAGAATAGCGTTCCGATACCTTAATAAGGAATCGTTCAAGACACTGTACACTGTGTATGTTAGGCCCATACTGTAGTATGCAGCACCAGTCTAGAACCCACACCTGGTCAAGCACGTCAAGAAGTTAGAGAAAGTACAAAGGTTTGCAACAAGGCTAGCCCCAGAGTTCAGGGGAATGTCGTACGAGGAAAGGTTGAGGGAAATCGGACTGACGACACTGGAGGACAGAAGGGCCAGGGGAGACATGATAACGACATACAAGATACTGCGGGGAATAGACAAGGTGGACAGAGATAGGATGTTCAAGAGAGGGGACACAGAAACAAGGGGTCACAACTGGAAGCTGAAGACTCAGACGAGTCACAGGGACGTTAGGAAGCATTTCTTCAGTCATAGAGTCGTCAGGAAGTGGAATAGCCTAGCAAGTGAAGTAGTGGAGGCAGGAACCATACATAGTTTTAAGAAGAGGTATGACAAAGCTCAGGAAGCAGGGAGAGAGAGTACCTAGTAGCGATCAGTGAAGAGGCGGGGCCAGGAGCTGAGTCTCGACCCCTGCAACCACAATTAGGTAAGTACAATTAGGTGAGTACACACACACACACACACACAACCATAGGGAGATCGACTGGGAAAACCTGGAGCCTCACAGGGGTCCTGACACATGGAGAGCCAAAATGATGGATGTGGTGCTGGAAAACCTCATGCATCAGCACGTCAGGGACACTACCAGAGAGAGAGGGGAGGATGAACCAGCAAGACTGGACCTTGTGTTCACCCTGAGCAGTTCAGACATTGAGGACATCACATATGAGAGGCCCCTTGGAGCTAGCGATCACGTGGTTCTGAGTTTTGATTATATAATAGAGCTGCAAGTAGAGAGGGTAACAGGAGTCGACTGGGAAAAGCCAAACTATAAAAGGGGGGACTACACAGGTATGAGGAACTTCCTGCAGGAGGTTCAGTGGGACAAAGAACTGGTAGGAAAGTCAGTAAACGAAATGATGGAATATGTGACAACAAAATGTAAGGAGGAAGAGGAAAGGTTTGTTCCCAAGGGCAACAGAATCAATGGGAAGGCCAAAGCGAGTCCTTGGTTTACCCGAAGGTGTAGGGAAGCAAAAACTAAGTGCATTAAAGACTGGAAGAGGTACAGAAGGCAAAGGACCCAGGAAAATAAGATCAGTCGATGAGCCAGAAACGAGTATGCACAGATAAGGAGGGAGGCCCAGTGTCAGTCAAAGACCAGGTGATCAGGCTAAGGAAAGAAAGCGGGGAACTCACACGAAATGATCAAGAGATGTGTGAGGAGCTCAACAAGAGATTTAAGGAAGTATTCACAGTGGAGATAGGAAGGACTCTTGGAAGACAGGACAGAGGGGGACACCAATAGGACACCAACAAGTGCTGGATGACATACACACAACTGAGGAGGAGGTGAGGAAGCTGCTAAGTGACCTTGATACCTCAAAGGCAATGGGACTGGACAACATCTCCCTGTGGGTCCTTAGAGAGGGAGCATAAATGCTGTATGTCCCATTAACCACAAACTTCAACACATCCCTTGAAACTGGGCAACTACCTGAGGTATGGAAGACGGCAAATGTAGTTCCCATTTTTAAAAAAAGGAGACAGAAATGAGGCACTAAACTACAGACCAGTGTCACTGACGTGTATAGTATGCAAAGTCATAGAGAAGATTATCAGGAGGAGAGTGGTGGAGCACCTGGAACGGAACAAAAGCATAAATGACAACCAGCATGGTTTCATGGAAGGCAAATTCTGTGTCACAAACCTTCTGGAGTTTTATGTAAAGTAACAGAAGTAAGAGATGAGAGAGAGGGGTGGGCTTATTGCATCTTCTTGGACTGCAAGAAGGCCTTCGACACAGTTCCTCACAAGAGATTAGTGAAGAAACTAGAGGACCAGGCGCGTATAACGGGAAGGGCACTTCAATGGATCAGAGAATACCTGACAGGGAGGCAACAACGAGTCATGGTACGTGATGAGGTATCACAGTGGGCACCTGTGATGAGCCGGGTCCCACAGGGGTCGGTCCTAGGACCAGTGCTATTTTTGGCATATGTGAATGACATGATGGAAGGGATAGACTCAGAGGTGTCCCTGTTCGCTGATGATGTGAAGTTAATGAGGAGAATTAAATCAGATGAGGATCAGGCAGGCCTTCAAAGAGACCTGGACAGGCTGGGCACATGGTCCAGCAAATGGCTTCTCGAATTCAACCCTGCCAAATGCAAAGTCATGAAGATCGGAGAAGGGCAAAGAAGGCCGCAGACAGAGTATAGGCTAGGTGGCCAATGACTGCAAACCTCGCTCAAGGAGAAAGATCTTGGCGTGAGTATAACACCGAACACGTCTCCGAAAGCACACATCAACCAGATAACTGCTGGAGCACATGGGCGCCTGGCAAACCTGAGGTTAGCATTCCGGTACCTAAGTAAGGAATCTTTCAAGACACTGTACACCGTGTACGTTAGGCCCATACTGGAGTATGCAGCACCTGTTTGGAACCCACACTTGATCAAGCACATCAAGAAATTAGAGAAAGTGCAAAGGTTTGCTGCAAGGTTAGTTCCAGAGCTAAGGGAAATGTCCTATGAAGAAAGGCTGAGGGAGATCGGCCTGACGACACTGGAGGACAGGAGGGATAGGGGAGACATGATAACGACATACAAAATACTGCGTGAAATAGACAGGGTGGACAGACAAGATGCTCCAGAGAAGGGACACAGAAACAATTGGTCACTCTTGGAAGTTGAAGACTCAGATGAGCCACAAGGATGTTAGGAAGCATTTCTTCAGTCACAGAGTGGTCAGGAAGTGGAACAGTCTGGTGAGCGAAGTAGTGGAGGCAGGAACCATACATAGCTTTAAGACGAGGTATGGTAAAGCTCATGGAGCAGGGAGAGAGAGGATCTAGTAGCGATCAGTGAAGAGGCGGGGCCAGGAGTACACACACACACACACACACAGACATACACACACACACACACACACAAACACACACACACACACACACACACACACACACACACACACACACACACACACACACACACACACACACACACACACACACACACACACACACACACAAGCCAGTAGAAGTTATAACGATATCTACAGTGTAGATAAAATAACACGTTACTGTCATTTTAGTTTAGTCTCTCTAAGAAACATAAGATAATAAGCAAATACTGTATTTATAGTAGCGAAAAAACAGGGCACTGTCGAAGATCAGATAACGGTGTCAGGCCATCTAACAGTCGCGTCCAGTGGCAGCAAGTAGTCAGGTTGGTCTTGTATCGTATGTTTAAGGGTATTTGAGATGTTGTTGGTAGTAGCAGTTTAGAATACTTTAATACAGTGGTGCCTTATTAATATTGGATTCTCTCTAGATCAACTCTTCCTTGTTTCGGTTCCTGTGATGTTTCTCTTTAGATGTATGCAAGACACAATCATTGTTGTTGTTGTCTGTGTTGCGTGTATTTCCATGTTTTCAATCCCGTGGAAAGTGCAACATGATTTATGTAGGAAAAACATCGAGGAATCTTTCTATGCTTTCAGATTTTAAAGAAGTTTTAAAATTATCATTTATTTTATGAGTCTAAGAATTAAAACAAATGAATTTCAGGTGTGTTGTAGGCTTCCAAGGATGCGACTTCTTTTGGTGGTGTTGGTGGTGGTAGCGGTGATGCTGGGTGGTGGTACCGTGGGTCATCTGCCGCCCCGAGAGAAGTCATATAAAATTTTATTTCTTCTAATGGCATCCCCGATTAGCCACAGGAACGTCTTCATTCCTATAGCAGAGGCCTTGGCTGATCGCGGTCACCAGGTGAGTCAATTTATTACTATCTGCGCTAGTACAGTAGTCATTAAGTCAGCACCTGGTAAAATATTTTCTAAATATTAGGGATCTTCTCAGATTAAGCTGAGGGTTCCTGCTTTGAGTTTATAACCTCAGGACTGAAAATATTGGTGATGTAATTTAAAATATTAACATTAAGAATATTTTAAAGTTAATTTACAGCTGTATAACTTAATTAATATTAGGCAAAATACAAATGAAGAAGAGCAGCCAGAGATTCACTGTAAGAAGCTGCTTCATGCATATATGGGACATATGCACCTTCATAGCTACGTTTTTTCTCACTTGTTTATAACATTTCTGTCTTAATTCCATCTACTCCAGCTGCTTAACCCCCTTCCATTCTACCCACTGCCTCACTTGCCTTCACCAGACTAACGTCTGGTTCATCCTCACTTCCTGCCTCCCTTTCTTTACCAACATTAATATAATAAATAATATAATACCTTTATTTCTACAAGTACATGTACATGTACAGGCCTAGCGGACATCAGTGACAATCAGTGGACCCTCGGTTTTCGAGCGTTCCGGAAATTGAGTAATTTGGATTGAGAGCAGTTTTTTCAGCGAAATTTCGTCCCGGATTTCGAGTGTTTGAGACACGTCCACCCCGTCGGTGACGGCACAAAAGTTACTCCCTATGAAAGCAAAAGACTCATCAGGAGATACAACATTTCCCCGATGAAAAGCAGGGGCCCCACGAGTACACTGAGAGACAACACAATAAGTGACTGGGGCCCAAGACTGTTCAACTGTCTCCCAGCATACATATAGGGAATTACCAATAGACCCCTGGCTGTCATCAAGAAGGCACTAGACAGGCAACTAAAGTCAGTATCTGACCAACCGGGCTGTGGTTCATACGTCAGTTTGTGTGCAACCGGCAGTAACAGCCTGGTTGATCAGACCCTGATCCACCATGAGGCCTGGTCTCAGACCGAGCTGTGGGGGCATTGTCCCCTGAAACCCTCTTCAGGTAAACTCCAGGTAAACTCCCTCACACGTATCACACTCAGTCTGCCTATCTCTCGTTGAGTAAGGAATACTCTGCATGTTCATCCATTCATCCATTCATTTTGGTACTTGTTTATTGATTGTGACTGTGAAATAAGCCACCATGGGGCCAAAGGAAGCTAAAGGTGCGAAAGGGGTGAAAATGCTAACGAAACAGGGATCACAAACAATCGAGGATGTGGAGAAGTTGCTGTTGGTGTGGGTGAAAGAGAAACAGTTAATGGGAGATAGTATTTCGGAGGGGATAATTTGTGAGAAGGTATGGCAGTTGCATGCCGATCTCGTGAACAAAATGTCTGGAATGAGTGCTGCTGTTGGTGAATTTAAGGCCAGCAAAGGCTGGTTTGAGAGATTTAACAAGCATAGTGGCATACACAGTGAAGTCCTTATAGAGGGGGATTCCCCTTCCAAACAATAAATCCTCCCTCTCTCCTCCTCCCTGTCTTCCATACGCCAAGAAGAGTCTTCAATATAGGTATGTAATGTTTATACTATTTATTTATATTTATTTATAATTGCTTTGTGTAGGTAAAACTATAGTTAATCTTTAAAAAATTATTTTTATGTGAATATTTTTGGGTGTGTGGAACGGATTAATTGGGTTTACATTATGTTTTATGAGAAATATTAATTTGATTTTCGAATATTTCGGATTTAGAGCAACCTTTTGGAACAGATTAAGCTCGAAAACCGAGGGTCCACTGTACTACTATATAGAAAGCCACTTGTTATATCTGGAGTATACCTGGAGAGGGTTTAGGGGGTCAATGCCTCCAAACCCCTGGTGGATCAGGGCCTGATCAATCAGGCTATTACTGTTGGCCACATGTAAAAAGACGTATGAACCACAGCCCAGCAGATTAGGTACTGACTTTAGTTGCCTGTCCAGCACCTTCTTGAAGAGAGCCAGGGATCGATTGGTAATCCCCCTTATGTATACTGGGAAGTAGTTGAACAGTCTTGGGCCCCTGACACTTATTGCATTGTTAGGTAAGACACATATGCAACAGTTAGGTATCTTTATTTCGAAACGTTTCGCCTACACAGTAGGCTTCTTCAGTCGAGTACATAAAAGTTGATAGAAGCAGAAGATACTTGAAGACGATGTAATCAGTCCATCACCCTTAAAGTTTTGAGGTGGTCAGTCCCTCAGTCTGGAGAAGAGCATTGTTCCATAGTATGAAACAATATGGAGATGAAGTGACAGGATGGAGCCTTATATAGCGCCATATTGTTTCATACTTTGGAACAATGCTCTTCTCCAGACTGAGGGACTGACCACCTCAAAACTTTAAGGGTGATGGACTGATTACATCGTCTTCAAGTATCTTCTGCTTCTATCAACTTTTATGTACTCGACTGAAGAAGCCTACTGTGTAGGCGAAACGTTTCGAAATAAAGATACCTAACTGTTGCATATGTGTCTTACCTAACAACCTGTCGGTATTTTATACCATTTTAATGTTCACTTATTGCATTGTCTCTTATCGTCCTAATGGCTCCCCTGCTTTTCATTAGGGGATGTTTCATCACCTGCCGAGTCTTCTGCTTTTATAGGGAGTGATTTTCATGCGCAAATTTAGTACTAATACCTCTAGGAATTTCAAAGTGCATATAATCATGTATCTCTCCCTCCTGTGTTCCAGGGAAAACAAGTTGAGGAACTTCGACCATTCCCAGTAATTTAGGTGTTTTATCTCACTTATGCACGCCGTGAAGGTTCTCTGTAATTTTCTAGATCAGCAGTTTCACCTGCCTTGAAAGGTGCTGTTAGTGTGCAGCAATATTCCAGCTTAGTTAGAACAAGCGACCTGAAGAGTGCCATCATGGGCTTGGCATCTCTAGTTTTGAAGGTTCTCATTATCCATCCTGTCATTTTTTTCTAGCAGATGTGATTGATACAATGTTATGGTCTTTGAAAGTGAGATCCTCTGACATTATCACTCCCAGGCCCTTTATATTAGTTTTTTGCTCTATTGTGTGGTTGGAATTTGCTTTATACTGCGATATAGATTTAATTTCCTCGCGTTTTCCATATCGGAATAATTGCAATTTCTCTTCAGTGAACTTCATTTTTTTTTTTTTGCGTCCCATTTAAAGATATGATTGATGTCCTCCTAGAGTCTAGCATTGTCTTCAATGGAGAACATTGTCATGGAAATTCGGGTGTCATCTGCATAGTGCTGTGGCTTACATCCCTGTCTGTGTCAGATATGAGGATGAGGAACAGGATGGGAGCAAGTACTGTGCCTTGTGGAATGGAACTTTTCACAGTAGCTGCCCCAGACATTGTTAACTACTGCTCTTTGTGTTCTATTTGTTAGGAAACTATAGATCCATCTACCAACTTTTCCTGTTATTCCTTTATCACGCATTTTGTGTGCTAATACACCATGGTTACACTTGTCAAAGGCCTTCGCAAAATCTGTGTATACTACATTTGCATTTTCTTTGTCTTCATAAGCATCCAGGACCTTGTCATCGTGGTCCAGTAGTTTGGACAGGTAGGATATAAAAGGTAAGTGGTTGGGCCACTTACCTTTTATATCCTACCTCTCTCCCCCCTCCCACCCTTTTCCAATATTTCTATCCTTACCCATCCTTCTTCCTTACCCATCTTACCAAAGCTCTGGTCATAAGAAGAAGAAGAAGGAGTCAGGGTCATCTACAGAGGCAGAGGACAAAGTCGTTACTGGGACTTTATTTGGATAATTAAATGCTTTAATCTGATTTATGTGGTATGTTTTACTCTTTGAGGGCTTATTAAGGGAAGCTACCACATAATTTACATCAGATAGTTTACTTATAATTTGCATAGGTCCTATAAATCTAGCTTTTAAGGTGTGGCCAAGTATAGGTTCCTGCACCAGCACCTTCTCTCCTGGACTGAAGGAGTGAAAATTTGAGTTTCTGTCATACCTCTGTTTCATAGTGTTTTGACGGGCCACCTGCAACCTTGAAGAAAGGTTGTAGAGTGTTATGCAAGTGTCTTCTCCCATCCATCCTTCCTTGAGCACTAGCAGAGGACCTTGTACGTTGTGCCCAAAAATTAGCTCAAATGAACTGTACCCTGTGGACTCCTGCACAGTTTCTCTTATTGCGAACAACAACAGAGGAAGCGAATCATCCCAGTCTGTAGGGAAATGCATGCAATAAGTTTTCATCATGGTTTTTAATGTTTGATGAAATCTTTCCAAGGTGCCTTGGGAATGAGGATGATAGGCGGTGGATAATTTATGAGTTATTCCTCACCTAGTTAATGCTACCTTAAACGCTTTGGCAGTAAAATTAGTACCCTGGACACTCTGAATAGACTTACGAATGCCAAAATAGGATATAAATTTAGTTTGGGCTTTAAGAATAGCTTTGTATTGATACTGCGCATTGGGACTGCTTCTGGATACCTTGTAGCTTTGTCCATGATAGTGAACAAGTACCGGTTTAAAGACTTGGATTTTGGTAATGGACCCACACAGTTAATGATAAACTCTGCAAACGGTTCTCCGTCTGCAGGTATGGGATGGAGTGGTGCAGGTTTAATGGGGTGTCCAGGTTTTCTTACTTGCTGACATTCCCTACAAAAGTGGATGTGATTCTTCACATCTTACCTTATTTTTGGCCAGTGAATTTTTTAGTATTTTATTCAAGGTTTTTGTAATTCTTAAATAACCTCCTAACGAAGAATTGTGGGCTACATTTAAAATTTGTGATCTAAACTTTTTAGGAACTACCAATCTATCTGTCTTTTGGCTTCCCTCTTCCTCCTTACCAGTCTCTGTGCAGATCAATAAATCGTTTTTTATATTATATTTGACTGGTTGATCTGAGTGGGATTCACCCATGGCTGCCTGAAAAGCAAAGTTTAATGAAGGATCTTTTTTGCTGTTCTTCCCAACAGGACAGGCCCTTGGGCATGGAAACAGAGATAACTGGCAATCCTGAAACCCTTGAAT